ACAATCTAAAAAATCCTGTATGGAAGCCACACTCATTATTGTACTGGTCTACATTTCTCAGGCCCGGTCGCGGGCCAAGTTGGAGTCACAAAGCCTGCTCCACTGCGACGTCTTCTGCGTCTTTTTGTTGGCCACTGGCCTGTGGCGAGCGAGTGGAGCTGGGCGGAGCGCGGGGGTTAAGGCCGACGAGTTGCCTGCGGGAGGCCAGAGCAGCGAGGCCCCGGCAGCGTCGGGTCCAGGGGAAGGTCTGGGAAAGATGATAAAAGTTCAATGTATCCTTCAATGTAAAAGTATTGATTTGAAAGTCCTTCTTGTAATTGAAAAGTTTTAAAATGCATCCGGGATTTCTGTGCACGTGTAAAGGGAAAAGGCCAGTTTAAAAACGAGTGCGCATAGTTTTGAGCTGAACTTGACCTTTTGCTGTGTACAGAATAAAAACCCGAGACTGTTTTGGCCTTAAAAATGGCAGATGAACCTGACAAAGAAATGTTTGGATTGAATTGGGAAAAATTATGTTATTGTGGTAACTAAATACCTTTGCTTATTGGTACAGCCACCATTTTGGGCTGCATGACTTGGCAGCTGCCATGTTGGCCACATGGTTTGCCGCTCCCCTGGGGGCCGCCATCTTGAAACAGCAAAGGCCCCTCCCTCTGATTTAGTCAGGGGTGGGGCTTTAAGGTGGAGTTTTATGGGGCAGAAGTAAGCTTGCCTCGAGGATTTATTTTTAAGCTAATCTCTTAAATCTAGAAAACCCTGCTTTCCTTAAACTAAGGACAATCAAAGGTTATGTCAAAGTCTTTAAAAGGGACTGATAGCAGTAATCCAATTTCTAAAAGTCAGATAGAGACTGTGGTTTCATGCTGATATTCAAGGGCATATTTTTCCTTTGCCTGGGAGGGACAGTGCAGCTGTCCCAGGGTCGGGAGGGCTCCAGCTAACTTGCAACTCAGTGTTTGGGAGACCCAGGATATGCCTAAGTTTAACATAGGTTACCCAAGGACTCTAGATAATGTGTTTACCCACAGCTGTGGTTTGGATTGCATGCTGTCTCTGCTTCTGTAAATTGATCTGTCCTTATTGCTTAAATATGTATCCTTGTTGTTAAATTTGAATGTATTGTTAATCTGAGGAATGTTAATTATTTACATGTCACCTAAAAATTAAGGCTAAAAGTTTTAACTAACTGAAAAGTATGGCTTTGGTGTGATGGGAGGAAAGAAATTTTGAATGGATGGTAGGCCAGTAAGCTGGAACTGGTCACTGGTGGTGGATTGTGAGAAGGGCTGGACACTGCCTAACTTCTCCTTCCTTGGTACCCCTGAAACATCAGAGGGTACTTTTGGCCTTGGTTTTCTTGGTTTCTGGTTTTGAATTTGTTTGTTTGTTTGTGATGAAAACCGTTTCTCAAGAATCCTGTCCTGGAATGTGGGAAAAGGAAGACCCCCACATCTGTTCCTGTCAGGCCCCCATCAGGGGACTTGGGTGATGTTCCTGTTATCAGCTCAAGAGCCCAAGACTGTAAAAATACTTGTTCACTGAAAAGGTGTAAGTGTAAATGTTTATTTGATGTTTGTAAGCAT